GCCAGGTTGCAGCGACTCGCCCAGTCATTGGCAATCTTCGGGGACTTGTCTTTGGCCATGCGGCGACCGCTGCGTAGACGTCTATGGAAGAACAAGATCGGGGGGGACGGTCTTCAATATGAAGTCCTGGCCTTATATTCCACTCTAGTGTAAACTGGTGCTGAGGTTATACCCCACTTATAGATCGCTACAAAGTCCCGTGAACCTCCAAGTAAAGTCGCATCCTTAAGGAGGTGAGACCCTAAACCCTGAATCGTAAATCCTAAACCCTAAATCGAAAGCGTTCTTGTTCGCCACAGGATCGCATCATCTCCCCCACCCTGTCACTTCAACCATCCTCAACCCAAAAAACCCCGGGCCCAAATCAGCCGAAGATGACCGTCAGTGGGTCATCAATTTTGTTGTACAGTGGGAGGCATATCTCTGACCAGGAACTCTGTTTGGACAGAGGTGGTTAGTACAGGCTTCCGCTGACCTGCACGGGATAGCCGGCTAATCCATTCACTCAAAATACCCCAAACCCTGCTTGGAGGTTCAGGACATATCGAGTATACTTCTGACTCCTGTAAACCATATGTATTATCAGTTTAAGCTCCCTACAAGGGCTTTTATAGAGGACTATATAGGGGACCACTATAGGGCTTCTTGAGGGGGATACTACGAGTTTAGACTATAGTTCACATAGTAACCCAGTTTTCCCCATTCTAAACCTATCCATTGAGTCCCTGACCCTTGAAGTATGAGATTCAAGGCCCCAAGCGGCGGAAGGTCCTTAGCGTCCTTTGCTGCATCCTTCAGACAGGTGAAGGCAGTTGTATGCCTTAAACCTAAATTGTAAACCCTGAACCCTGATGCCTAGGCCCCTAAAATTGTATGGGGTATTATGGGGTGTTGCAGCATTTGAGGATGTGGAACCGCTTTAGGGTCTAGGGTTCGACACCCGTCGTTTTTCTAAAACTTGGGGTTGCCATGTTTGCCGCCCATCAGTTAAATCATGCTACTCAAGCGATCAGGCCGATGACCTTGTGCAGATTGTGCTATACTCTTTTCAACCATTTGAGTCATATTCTATAATCTACGTATTCGCTTCATAACCTCTATAATTGTCCCCTATGTAATCCCCTATATTCCTATATAACCCCTTTAAACATGTTAGACCTAGACCCTATGTACCGCCGCATATAGCCTTCGCTTTAAAGTTGAAGTTACAGCTCATTACCGGACTGGTTCCTTTGCAGAACCCGCAAAAGACTGCATCCGTGATACTTAAGAGCCTCCGGCTCAGTCCGCCGACCCAGAGGCGCACAAAGCACGAAAGCCTAAACGCGAAA